TGGGGAGGTCTATGTTTAGCAGTGGACTTGTGAAGGGCTGTAATGATGAATGATGATGATAATTGGTTCAGATTAATAGCGAATTATATTTTACAGCTGGTAAAGATTTACAAATAAAGCAACTCACGCTGATTGTCCAATATATTTACAACAGAAGCCAAGGCCTAATAAACGCCTGAAAATATGCAAATTCACGATTCTGTGAGTAATTGTCTTGACCTTCCACAAGTTTCAAAAGTAACATTTAATACAACCCGTGTAGCCAAAAAATGAAACTCAGTATACATAAATACAAATTAACAACATACTTCGGCAGCTCTTTTCCTGATCAATAGTGGACTGCTTGAGATTGGTCTGTTAAATTTCAGCTAATTTTATTTCGTTCTCAAAAAAAGTTAACTCCTATCATTAGCTCCGTGGCGCAGTGGCTTAGCACTGACTTGCGTCGCTAAAGGGGGTTCGAAACCCCGACAGAACAAGTATTTATATGGCCTATAAGTAATTGTCCCGGATCAGGATGTTTGTCTTTGTGCGATTTATGATGGTAAAATGTCTCACGATACAGTAGAAAATCCTAGTATAGGCTTAACGTTTAAAAAAAAAACTTAGTATTATCTGTGTAGCCAAAAATTCAACTAAGTATATAAAACTACAAGTAAACAACTTACTTCTCAACTCTTTTCCTTGTCAGTAGTGGACTGCTTTAGCTTGGTCTCAAAGTTCAGTTCATTTTATATCTTTCATAAATTCTCCTATTTTTCTTTTATTTCTTTTTAAATCCGTAACATTACACAGAATAACACTAAATTTTCTGTAATGTTGATGTTTTTAGTTTTTATTTATATGAATGGCATAATATTATAGATCATGTAGTGGCGGTGTAAGAATATCCACTACCCCATAACATCCCGTGAGTATCGTAAGAGGCGAAAGGGGGAAACTGAAACGGGAGATGGGCAGCAGCATTTTCCTGATAACTTTTAATAATAAAAATCTGGTTGGTAACCGCAGAGCCTACAGAGCGTGGCAACTGTGGCAAAATCCCCCATATGAGGTAGTATATGGGGAGCCCAATGTTTATCAGTGGATTTTTATACGCTGTAATGGATGGAATGGAAATTGCATTTAGCCGAAAATCATAACCTGGAGCAATTATTTAGGGCACATAAATACCTGTTTCTTATGGGATTTAACCCGCACTTCGCAGTCAAACGCTTTGTTATCGTAAAGTCATGGAAATAAATTTCTTTTTTATAGAAAAATAGTGACAAACGAGTGCACAGTCCACCTGATGGTAACGGTAACGGTTTTTTAATTCTATTATCATGTCACGGTCGCCAATGTTAATTCTTTAGCGAATTAATGTAAGTGAATTTAAATTTATTTAAAAATAAAATGTTCATTCCGTCTGATTACAACTGTATTCATGTTTAAAGTGAAAGATAAAAAATGCGACACAAATAAATGCAATGAAGTGTGGTTGGTAACAAAACAAATTACAATGCAATAGATTCAAAAATGGTATTTACTAGAAATTAGTAGGTAACACGGTTTACGTACCAATCGATAACATTACCCTACTTTGGGCTCGTTGTGGGCTAAAAAATTGATGCGTAAGTTATCTAACATAAATAAAATCGAAATGTCTATCTGTAATAGTAATATATTGTAGTAGTAATCTGTAGTAGTAATAGTAATAGACCGGAGTGGGTCGCTAGTTTATTAACATATTGTTATATCATAATAAAGTTTAAATTCATGATAGAAGTTCCAATAGTCAGTACCTTCAACTTACAAACTCACTTTTGTGCCGAAACACCGTAGATAAGTTATGATTACATATTTACACTACTCTACGTAGATCATCTGATAAAATTCACTCACGTGTTTACTTTTTCTAAAATTAAACTGAAGTTTTTAGTGCCTAGCCTGTTTTTTAAATAATTGTGTCCTACGATCACAAAATATACCAGATGGTGAGTAGATTCTGTAGATGGTAATTGAATAAACTGGTGTAATTATTATTTCTAAAAACTTTAATGATAACTTTAAAGGTAATAATGATAATACTCCTACTGAGGCAACGAAGTAAAAGCACGATACAACCAATACAGAAAGAAAAAATAGTGTAACCTAAAGCACCCTCCACCAGTTAAGTAAAATATCAGTTTTGCACTTGGTATATTCACAAGTAAGAAAATTGATATGTCATGAAACCGTAACACGTTTAAATTATTAATTCTTTATATGCCTTTTACGAAAAACTAAAGGTATACCGCCCTTGATGGTTTGTACGATGCGGCTTTTTGGGTCTATCTTGGGGTTGCGTATCGTAGTTGGGCCTGGTTCCACTGAGCAGCAGGACAGTACTGCCGCCAGTCCCGCCAGCGACTGCATCAAGCCGAGGCGTTCACCTGTTTTGTAAAAGTCAGTTAATGATGGCTCCGCAACTCATTGCTAAGTCACTGCGACTTAGCAATGAGTTGCAGCGCTGTGGGCCGTGTGTTCGAATCTCTCATAGAACACGTATGTGTATGAACTACAAATTTGTGATATTTGTCCTTGTGAAATTTATGTATAATAAGACCGAATTTCAGTCACGGTGGCCCCTCTCAACAATAAATAGCTTTTTGAGCAGAGCAGGATTCAGTGCCCAAGTATATGCGCAAGCACAGGTGCATTCTCTATTCCCTCACTCCCATAGTCCGATAGGACGGCAATTCGACACGACCGTAGGAGAGATCAGCTCACATATAAACTGCTTCCTTGAACTTGAAAATCCTAGAGTGGGGTTTTAAGGAGAAAAAACACTGCTGTGTGCATTTGTGCCGTGGTAGTGGCAGGTGACTATGCAACGTACCAGAAAGACGTTATAGCTTCCTAAGTAGTTATAACTATCTCGTTTACGCTAGACGTGGTATGCTATAGCTCTCTCTCCCTCTTGTTTACGCTAAAGTGAAATACCTAACAATTGACTTAATCGCCAGTATAGGAAGACGGATGACGATTCTCCTAGTCACCGGTCTGTATCATTAGCTGTAAACAAGATGATTATATTGCTTTCTATAGAGGTCATACGATCTTTCTGATATTTTCTTTGGTAACTTCTTACGATATTCACGATATGAAATAATGTGATTGACTATTACGCTGCCAACCCTTAATCAACCAATTTTATTCATCATCATCATCACCATCACAATCATCATCTTCATCATTGCAGCCTATCAAAGTTAATTAGCCTCGGAGATATCGTATAACATATAATAAAAGAAATATAGAGATGAATTGATATTGGCTTCTTTATTTGCATTTAGTTATAACTGAAAAATTATCTTTGTATAGGATAGCACGGGTATCAGTTATCATTGTAAAGATAACATTTCGTGAAAACTGAGTGATAGCTCGGCTGGAGCTTTATTTAATTAGAATTTGCTCATTGTTAATATGTAAAAACTGAATGAGCCCATTTTTCCTACTAGATAGAGTGAGAACGGATTAAATTCAATAAAAGAAGTCCTTCCTCAAATGCTAACAGATAGGAGTGTTCATATAATCCTTCTGGTGTTCAGCTAGTGTGTTTATCTATACAAATAAATAAAATTGAAGTGTCTGTTTGTAATATCAAAATAACAGCTTTTTAATAAATGCATATGAAAGTATATACGGTACTTATAACAAAAACACAATTTTTAAAATTTTTGTCTGTTAGTCCTTCTGTCTGTCTGTTTGTTCCGGCTAATCTCCGAAACGACTGGACCGATTTCGACGGGACTTTCACTGGCAGATAGCTGATGTTATAAGGAGAAACTTAGGCTTACTTACTTACACTTTAGAAAAACAGGGTTCCGCGCAACATAATTAAAACCTTAAATTACTCTGGGGCGAAGTCGCGGGGAACAGCTAGTATTTTATAAAATAAGGGTGACAAACGAACATACGGTCATATAAAATTTTCCTCAATTAAGAACAAATTTTTTAATTTGTGTTTAAAGTACTTACCGATGCAAGCACGAGGCCCGAGGCCAAATGGCAAGTACACGTATTTATTGTTAGAATCATATTCTCCAGGAAGAAACCTTTCCGGCTGGAACTGCTCGGGATTGGCGAAGTATTGCGGATCATTTGCATCGCTTGTACGGGAATTAAAATTTGAACTCCCGGGTCAATTGTAAGGTCAATTTCGGGAATCGTATATTTGCTAACGCATTGACGAATTAAGAAGCCTAAGGAAGGGAACATTCTCATGCCCTCTTTGAACGCGCACTCCAGATATGTCATTTCTTTAATTGCTTCGTAACTCAGTTTGTTGTTATGCTTAGCCAAGACTCGATCGATTTCTGATTGTACTTTTTTTTGGACGCCAGGATTATAAGCCAACAGGAGTAAAGTGTAGCTTGTTGCAGATGATGATGTCTCAAAGCCAGCGGCAAAGAAAACAAAGACTTGTGCTGCCATTAGCAAGTCGTCCAACTCTAGTTTTGCTATTTCAGGCGTTCCATCAGGCTTAAAGTGTTCTATAGACTCTCCTACGATCGTACCTTTGGCTTTGCATTCTAACAGCAGGTCTATAAAGTCGTTTCGTCCCGACGGTTGATAGTTTCTCTCAGGCGTGTCACTTTGTAAAAATCTGAGGTATGGAAAATGGTGGCGCGATTTTCAAATTTGTTCGCATTACTCGTGGGGTATTAAGGTTTAAGAGTTTGCAGTGTATATACTCAACTTATTTATTGAACTATAAGATGTGGGGTATTGAGGTTTAAGGGCTTGCGATTTATTTATATGGGGTTTGTAGTAATATGCGATTTATTTCCTAATTTCAGCTATGGAATTCCATACCTTGAAAAACTTGAGGTATGGAGTGCTCCATACCTTCCATAGTGGAAGTGACACCCCTGGTTTCTCTGCTTCATGATTTCCTTTACTAGAGCAACGATGTCGGTCTCCACTTCACCTTGCGTTTTTGCATATTTAAATGTTTCAGGAAACATAAGTTTGAGCTAGCCAATAATAAGCTGCATTGCGGTGGGTGAGAACATTTTTGCTCCTAACTGTCTGAATGCTGAATTCTCATCATTAAGCGAGTCTGTCTGAAGACCGAAGCCACAAGCTCCAATAAAGTCAGTTGTGTAACGAGCCAGCAATTCACGAGCGTCTAATATGCGGCCACTCGAAGCGGCATCTAAAACTCGCGTTTGTAGCTTCTCGGCTCGCTCGACGATCAACGGAAACATGGCCTTGAGCTTGCCGCTGGTGAACGCTGGGGTCATGCGCTGTCGCAGCAGCCGCCAGACGTCACCGTCCACGTGGAACAGATTACGCAGCATCGGTTCAATAACTTTCTTGTGTGAGTTTATACCACGTGGATAAAAGTGAATGAAATCGGTCGTCAAAACTCGTTTCACAATTTCAGGATCCCTTACTACAAGCTCCGGCCGGAACGCTCGGTAGAACCCGATGACCTTCTCATTCGGATATTTCCAGTACATTTCAACTGTGATTTCCGTTGGGCTCAACAGCATCAGGAAATTTCTTGCATTGTTACCCAAGAATGGTATAGGCTTGTCATGTTTGATTCCCCTCTGCTCCCAGTATTTATACGTCCTTGTACCGTATACATATAACGACAATATTGTTATTATTGCAATAATTACAGTAATCATATTGAAAAAATCACAACGAACAGATTCTAACGGTTTTTACAGAGTGTTGCACGACGCAGACCAACGTTTTATTATACACATACGTTATCCAAGCCACAAGATAATGCAGTGAATTCGCATCAAAATTTGTATCACTTATCAAACAAAGGTAAGCGTTCTGTAATCCTTTTATTTACCGATCTTATCGATGAAAATAGAATGTACAAAAATTTATAATCGAGAGAAGTGATTAAACGAAAATAAAATACATCCAAAATAAAAACGAAATCTTCATTAATATTCTTTAATAGCTTTGCTTTGGGTTATATCATAAAACACCTCCCAGGGTCACGGAAGTTTTGGTCCGATCTACGTAGGATGATCTTCCAGTATAAGTCTAGCATTGCTTGGGCTTGGATTTGAATTTCGTTGTTGTAATAATGGGGTTCTAACAGATTTTAGTACCCAGCTATTTTCTCTATTGACATTTGGAAAGTTCTTTAATTTTTTTTTATTTCAGTAGCATCGCAAATCGAAATGGGTATAATTTTGCGATAATTTGTGGTTTATCTAATCTGATAGGGACATGTACAAAACTGCAGACTTCTTAGCGCTATCTGTGTATAAGAGTGATGATTTCGAAACCACTTTATTTTTAATTTTCAGTTTTATTTTTAACTTTTAACTTTCGAATTTATTTTAACACACAGGCAGTGCAATTATCAATAATTAAAAATTAAAAATTTTGTACAGCCGACTTCAATATAAATTATTAAGAATAACTCAAAGACTGTTGGTCTGACCTTAATCAAATCCATATGAGACTACATGTGAAGTATCAGCTTTCAAATAAAAAAGAATGATTGAAATCGGTTCACCCAGTAAAAAGTTATTAGGTAACACACATAAAAAACATACAGTCGAATTGAGTACCGTCTCCTTTTTGAAGTCGGCAGAAAATGGCACTATTTATTCGCAACATTCATTATATCAAAAGTTTTTTGCACAACATAGGGCTCCTCGACAGGGCTTCCTTGTAGGGCTTGGCAGGCGGGTTGGCAGTCTTATTTTTTATTGATTTGAGTTTTTATCAGAAAGATCCTGCTGGTCATCTCCTGTCTCATTTTCTTCTTACTTCTTCACTATACGGCAAATATAATACAATATAGCAGTACTATATACAATATACATACATTGTATATTGTATGCTGTATATTGATACGCTTATGGTGATAAGAGGGCTGGTTCTTTTCTCGCTCAAAGGCTAAGTATAGCGCAGAGAGCGTTTTTGATACTATACCGTTGGGAGTATGACTTTATGATAATTTAAGTTTTTAAGTATTTTTTTTGTTAAAGTATTTTTAATACCGTTTATATTTGAAAATAATAAATTTACATCAAATAAATAATAACAAAAAATAATAAATAAAAATATATACATATACATATACATATATCTGGTAGTGGTCTGATAAGTGCTGATTAATGGTGAAGAAATATTTTAAATTGTTCTTAATTACTACAGATATTGTTAAATAAAGCTTCACGTGAAACACAATCGATCATTTCAACGACCCAACGAGTCCCCATTAGGTACGTAATTTACCTTCATCCAGACTGGCGTTGACTACGCGTTTGTGGTCACCGCAACATGCGACAGTGACGTATATTTGAACCTGTTACTGTTTTAAATTATCACTGCGTATCATTGTTAATTAAATTTGTATTAATAATGATACGTAGTGATTACAATAAGCTCTTCTAATGAAATAAGCCTATTTACTGTTGTAAATTAACAACATAAAATTTAAAAATTTAAAGCTTTAGTAGCGTCGGCGCTAAACGCTCTTCGTCAATTACACAGTACGCAAGGAAACCCGGTTCCTTCGTTGTCGACCCCAATTAAATTTTTAAATGTAATTTTAAGTGTTGATTTTTTTTTATAGAATAACAGTGATAAACGAGTACACAGTCCACCTGTACATTTTTCCTCGATTATGAATAAAAATTCAGATGCGTTGTCACATCCAAATACTAAGACAGAATGCTTTGTTTCCAGTAAAAAAGAGTCTCCACTTTGCTAAGCTCACCTTACAAAATTCGGCAGCATTGAGCTGCTATTTTCCGCTGGTATTTTGTGAGAGCGTGTTTCTTTCCTGGTCGTGCATTCATGCTTAGTATAGCTGCAGCATGGTTCTGACACGTATATTTTATGACTATTTGATTAACGTGCCATTGGTGAAGGAAAACATCAACACATATCCACAAGAAAAAGATTTACAATGAATAAATGTATTTTTTTACTTCTATTTCTTATTAATTGCCTCTTTACAGTAGGCAGTCATTGAACGCTGGCTTTTTTCTTTAATCCGTTGAAGCGGTAAAAGCCTCTTGGTGAAAACGACGAGCATCACCGGAAAGGACAGGCATTTAGGCAGGATTAATAACTATGTCCGTGTTGCGGACAAAAGTGGGGTGGAGTTGTTTATTGTAGTAAAATTTTATATTTATACAATTTAAATTAAATATATTTTAAGGGGTTCGATTAGTTATTGATTAGTTACACCTAAATAAGGAATATTTGATATAAATATTTAGTTAATCAACTATTTATTTCACAACGTGTTTTGGCGGTGTAAGGATCTCCATTTCCCCATAATATCGCCTGGTGAGTATAGTAAGAGGGAAACTGAAACAACAGATGGGCAGCAGCATCTTCCTGATAAAAATTTAAAATAATAAGAATTTGCGTTTGCCAAACCGCTTGCCAAGCGTGGAAACTAATGAAAAAAGACTTTTATATACTGTAATGGTTAGATGATTTTACAATGAACACGTCTAGCACTTAAATTTTCCAAAATTAGTTATACAAGCTACAAATAAATAGGAAGGAAAAATAGATGTATAAACAAACGTAGGAATAATATTTTAAACAAATTACACGCTTCATATTTTCCCAGTAGTAGATACACCAGCTACAAAGTTTAAAAATACACCAAGTGGAATGCCATCTACATAAAGTAACGCTTGTGTATTTATTTACATACGCGTACAAGTTTGAATGTATATGAAAATCTAGATATTTATATCAATACAAGTCAATGGTTAATACAGTCATTAAAAACACCGACTGTATTAAAAAGTTTTCAAAAAAAAAAAACTTACCCTCCCTTTTTGTATTTGCAGATGCAATACATTAATACTATACAGCCTATGTCACTCCCACAATTAAGACGAATCTAACGACACCGCATAAGTTAATATCAAGTCGTTTAGGCTACATATTAAACCTTAAACCGAGAGAGTCTCTTAGAGAAAAATTTAAAGAAATAATTATATTAACATTGGCCTCTCAGTATATTTACGAAAATTTAATGTATGTTCACAAAGACAAAGGTAGTTTCAGTAAAGAAAGCGATATACACTCTGTAAATACTAGGAACAAACACAAGCTAGTGATACCGGTCTCTCGACTCCACAGAGTCAGTAATTCATTCTTTGTATACCCTATTACAACAAAATCCCAGAAAATATACAAGGACTCTCTATTACCAAGTTTTAATATATAAGACCACACTGTGAAATGTCAAGAAAACAAACACAATGATGTTTATTGACACGAAGTAAATATTTTGTTGTTATAACTGTATTTGGCACTTGTACTTGTACTTTGTTAGAATAACTTAAAAACAGATTTGATTGAACAGAAACTGTATAAAAAGAGTTACTATAATATAAATGAATACATGGTTGATAATAGCCCCTGGAAATGAGGTGGTCGCTTCGAAGCTGTTTCTAAAATAAATTTTGCAAATAGTTTGTAATCATTTATATTGTAAAATTTATTTAAAGTCCCGCTGGGTTTGTTGCTGGTTCCCAGAACAGAGATTTTTTTCCGTACCAGTGGTAAAGTAAAAAAAATTACTTTCAATAGAAATTACTTGTAATCAATATTGAATAAAAATTATTCTATTCTATTGTACCAAAGAAATAAATATAGATACATATGTAAATACTCTCGATAAACCTTACCCTCTTTCTGGGGCAGTCGGTAAAAAATAGCTAGAGACGTGAAAATGATCAATTCACTGATTAGGCTACACTACGGATACCTAGTTTCAGAGGAAATAGCGATGAAAGATTGTATTGGAGTCAAGGCTTAGGAGCTACGCCTAATAAGTGACAACAGCTGAGAACATGAATATTAATCTAAACAGTATTCATACTGCGTAGATTATCTTTGTTTATTCATTCTTCTATCAAAATTCCACTACTAAAATAGGCCTTCTCAATAAATTACTTTATAGATAATTGATATTTATATATGCTAAGTATCATCCAATTTGTACGAGTCCCAGAGAAGATAGCTATAAAAATTGCATCGGATTTAGATATAAAAAGGCTATGCTACACTTCATCTTACAATGTAGAAAGTAAAATATCAGAATTATGCTATATTGCGGCAAAAATATATTGAGTATTCAATATTCATCATTGACTGCCATCGCAAGACAACTAAAATGCTAAAATATTAGACTGTTATCTCGGGTAGTGATGTCGATAATCATTTGTTAATAATTTATACAAAAACTATAAAACTATTCTGGCTATATATAATGTTACCGTAACATGTTTTTTTTTCTTTCTTTGTTAAGGAATTAAACAAGAACTACGTTTATTACGTAATAAGGTCTCAAACCAACAAAGATAACAACCAAGAAAGATAGACAGAGCGATGCGTACACTTCAGGTGACGCCGAAACCATGATCAACTGCTTTACACGTACTCGTGCACACATCTTCTTTTTCTTTCTCAAACAGAGATCAAAAATCCATTTATGGAGTTAATTCGACATTGAACAATCTTTAGACCTATCATTGGCTTAATTCCCTGTGGAGTCAATGCGTAAATCTATAGATTCGTGGTCAGAGATATTAAAGACTTTGCCTCTATTAAAAAGCCAGAGCCGCCAAAATATCTTGTAATAAATACTGTACTATAGACTGAAATAAAACTATAT